GTTCTGAGCCATGTTGATAAAATTGTAAAGTAAAACGTATCTTAGACAATAGTGTCATGAGACAGTAAAATAAAGTAATTGATTATCTTGGTTAACCATCTGTTGAATACTATTGCTTTATTCATTGTTTATATGTGGTTTAGTATATTTCTACTGGGCTGTGGCTCACCCTTTATGGGAACATCATTTTCAGGTCCAGGTGATAAGCTACCTCCCAGGACTTAGCTCGGAAGGATTTGGATTTTGAAGACTATTTTTAGTTGTTTGTTTTATTTGATAAATAATCAAGCCTAGGGCTTTGTTGGCATTTGAGTTAGAACTCTTATTTTGTATCCAAGTGTTGGCTTGGAAAGATGTAAGCCCATAGGGCATTTAATTTGATGTTCATGTAATGTTTATTTAGTAACACTCTGATGAATAAATTGTTTTCTTTAAGTAATGCATGTTGTTGATATACATATAATGGGTTTATTTTGAGGGCGTTACACAGTTGATAGAATGCATTAACTTTATGTATTGATTGATTGCGTATGTGATTCTGTGTTTATATGCATTACTTGTGTATGGGAGGAGATGGGGGATGTACTCCATGGTTTAGGGGAAGATGGGGGATGCACCTCTAAACCGGTTAATGGTTAAGGGAAGATGGGGGATGGACCCAGGGATGCAGCTCATATGCTCTCCCATTGTAGTGATGATACAACTCATATGCTCATCTGTTAAAGTGTTGATACAGCTCATATGTTTATCTATTGGAATGTTGATACAGCTCATATGCTTATCTGTTGTAGTATTGATATAGCTCATATGCTTATCTGTTGTAGTAGTGATATAGCTCATATGCTTATCTATTGAAAAGTTTGTTTGATTTGATATAGCGCTAAAATGTATATCAGCACTGTTTGCGAAGTATGGAAGTAGTTTATGTGTTATTGATACAACACCGAAATGTGTATCCACCTCGGATTTCGAAAGTGTTCTAGTGATGAACTATAATCTCATCAAATGTTTTGGCCAGAGTACTGAGCCTTGTTTTCAAACTCAAAGTTGAATAAGAAATGGAAAGTGAATTGTAACATAGACTCGACTGTCATGGAACTGTAATAAGATGTAAATGGAAGTGTAAGTATTGACCATCTATCAGTTGCTAATCTCTTAGTCATTGTTCATAGTTGCGTTTTAGATATATTTCTACTGGCCTGTGCTCACCCTATATGGGACATCATTTTCAGGTACAGGTAGCATGCCACCTCTAAGGCATAGCTTGGGAGGCTAGAGGCGACATACTTTGGCTGTCTTATTTTCCTTGTTGTATTAATATAGTTTCAAGCCAAGAGGCTTAAGGTGTAATTGAGTTAGCACTCTCTTTTGTAACCAAGTGTTAACTTGGAAAGCTGTAAGCCCGTAGGGCATTTGCTTTGTGTTTGAAACATGTAATACTGTTGTAATGAAATACCCCTGATGAATAGATGAATGTGACCTTTATGTATCAATGCATGTCCCTCTAATGGATGGTTTAATGTTATTATTTTGAGGGCGTTACATACTCTTACTTGGTTGTTGATTCACTTTGAATTAACCATGAAGAAGTTGTATTTGATCTTTTAATTTGAATTCAAGTATGTGGACATATGGTTTATGGATGTGCTAAAGTTAGAACTCTCATGGACATGTGTATGTTGTGAGCCTAAGAATGATGAACTAAATTAGATTGATGTAATTGTCATTGTCTTAACATGATTTTAGACCATGTATTATCAAGTAAGAATGCTAATTTGAGCCTTGTAAATATGTGCCAAAAGGTGGGATTTTGCAAGCATTTTCGGACTGTTTTGGGCGGAATCGCCGCACGTGCAGGAGGTGCTACCGCACGTGCGGGAGTCATGGCCGCATGTGCGGGAAATGGTGAAAAACAGGGGCTTGGCTACTGTCTAAAAGGCACGTGCGGGGCATTTTGCCGCACGTGCGAGAGAGCTTGCCACACGTGTGGGGCTCACAGTAGCACGTTCGGTCCATGCTGAGAAACGTGAATTGCTTCGTTTTGCGTGTAGAAGCCTCTAATATTGTCGGAATATGTATTTGATGCCTTTTTGATATTTCTATATTCCTTCGAAGTGAAGTGAAAAATAAAGTAAATTGATAAGAAAAAAATGAACTAATGTATAAGTTTTAAATGTGTGCAGGACACACTCCGAGAGGAAGTAACACGGCATCTCAACACTGTGAGTAGTAGTACGCTTTACTACAGTCAATGATTGTCATTAGCAATCTGTTAATGCATGATTATTATGTACCTCTGTGAAAGAATCAAAGCATGTAAAGCATAATGAAAAAGATGAAATGCGTTCATTCTGTAAGACTCTAAAATCAAGTTGTTCTGTTATTATGATATGAAACAAAGTGCTACACGGAACTAAGTGCTACGATGTGAGTCACCTCTAGAGTCCGTGTGAGACACCTCTTGAGTTCATACAAGCATACTCAAGGGCTTAATGCCAAATGTTTCAAGGGCTCAATGCCAAATGTTTCAATTCCACTCCTTTGGGAGCAAATTGTTGATTTGAGCTATAAACCACGACTTAATATTATTGATCATGAGCAAACAGTATGTATTTTCTTCTGGATACAGCTCTTTATGTTTAAGTTGTGTAATGATGAGCATCTAACTGTGTTTTTCTTCCTTTAGTCAAAGGTTGTGGAGCGCCATTTTCATGATATTATAGAAAGATATGGAGAGACTGTAGCAGTTGACCTAACCGATAAGGTAAGACTTTCCAGCACCACACTAGGACATTAACCTGGGGCGTAGTTTCAATATGATTTCCTTACTGGAAGTGGAGAAATCCAGGTAACAAATATGAATGTTGTTCTTTGAAGTCTATTTTTTTTTACGTAAAAGAAACTCTATGATGGTTCAAATAGGAAATTATCACTATGGTAGCAAAAATTTTTTTACATTCTTTGAGTCAGTTTCGATGACATTGTCTGGGTCAGCTGGTCCACTTTATGGAATTCCAAACTGGAAATTTATGCACATAAGTTTACATATAATTTTATGCAATTATTGTTTTGTATTCTCCAATTGCAAATATTCATCTTTATGTTATCTTGTGTTGTAGCATGGCGATGAGGGTCAACTGAGTATGGCATATGCTACTGAAATGGAAAAGCTGCCAAATGTGAGGTGATTTTCTTTTCATGTTCATTGCAATTTGTGAACTTTTTTTAGATTTCTATGAGTATGGAAATCTTTAATTTTGAACAGATAATATCCACAGTGATAGATGTTTGCTTAGACATCCACTGATCGGTTTGGTTAATTTTTTAGGGAGAAAATAATTTTTTAAAATTCAAAAATATCATTATGGTGTTTATTTTTGTCAAACTAATTTCTATTTTTCAGAAAAATTTTAGAAAAACAGATGTCTGGATCTGATGTTATAAAATGTTGAAAAGATTGTATTTTTAGTAGAAAGAGATGTATAAATGCAAAAGAGATGTGTCATTGTCTCTTTCTGCTTGAGTTCCAATTTTGGTGCTGAGAAGAGGTTCTACGATATGTGCCTGTACTTGCGCTTCAGATTATGCCATGTTTCTGATGCATTGATTGGAATATATTTTATATTGTCAGTACATTAGAAACCATCTAGGTCAACATGCGACTTGGATGACTGAAACACATCATAAATAGAATATTTGTTTGCCTTTTCGGCTTTTGAAAATCTTATTAACAAGATACCTGAGAGATAAACTAAAGAAAGATTACAGGAAAAAAAACAGTGAAAAAGATTGGAGGAGATGAAAGCAAGTGACAGCTTCAGTTGCCATTTGTACATGATCAACTTTTTGTTTCTTCTTCAACCACCATTATCACGTGCAATTAGGAAGGATAAGATTTTCTGGCCTTGCTGAAATTTGAGAGATAGATTGAATCATAGCAGCTTTTCATTTTTTATGGAAAATCTATGCATATTACATATCATTTTCACATGCTCTGTTTCTAAATGAAAACATCATCTTTTAGACTTTCATTCCCTACTTAATATAGGGGAATTTTTAATTTATACTTCTTGTTGATTCAGATATATTTCATTTGATTTCCGTCACTATTGTGGCAACTCAAACCTCGACAATATACAAGTTCTCTATGACCAAGTCTCTGAGGATCTTCAAAAGGAAGGGTAATCAACAGAACCAGAGTATAATTTTCATAATTTAGAACATTTTCTGAATAAAATGTCACAATCCAGGTATATGGGTTTTCCATAATTCTGTTTTTAATCATTACTATTCCAGCTGAGCAGATACTTTCTCGTGGACGCAGAAGGAAAGATACAATCAGAGCAGAAATGAATTATTAGATCTAACGGCATTGATGGTTCATTTTTTTTTTCTTGGGTTTTTGTTACAGATGCACAAATGGATACAGTGTCTGATGATGCTTATGGTTCAGTTATTGGTTTTTGTTTGGATTGTTTTTAAGAAAACAATGGAAAGTATATGGAGGGTTTGTGAGGGGAGAGAGGGTCCACAAATTGAGCGCTTCTCGTCTCCTCTAAAATTGGGAGGAAATGGAGGGGAAGCGAAGTGCTGGTTTTTAAATATAATTTTAATACCAATTATACCCCTCATTTTACGAAAACATAAGTATATAAGGGCCCGTTTGGATAGATATGGATTTCAAGTCAAGGGATTTGAGGTTAAATGAATAGATAAAAAAGATGTATATTTTAGAAGGATCCTTATATTTAGAAAGATAATTCTTGGCATGATTTCAAATAACTAGTTTTATATAATTATTTCAAATCTATTATGATAAAACTATTTAACTCAATCTTGAAATACATAAATAAACTAGCATTTCTAAATTTGAGTTATTGTCCTTGAATGATCAAGGTCAAATCCCTTGATTTTTGAAATCCATGTCTATCCAAACAGCCCCTACTTTTTAAACATTACCTATTTGGCTTTTGTACCTACCTTCCCTTTATAATTATTGTCTAACCAAACAAAAGGGCGGAAAGGTCACCCTACCAACCCCTTGGTTAATTATTATCTAACCAAACAAGAAGAGGGGTATCTCCCCTCCCTTCTCTTTCCATCACTAATTTATATTTCCCTTCACTCCCCTTTCTGTGTATCTAAATGTAATGCAAGTGTATATGATGTACAGTTGATTGATCTCTTTTGTACTTTTATCGGGTTGCATTTTTTTTAGGATTGCTGATGCTAAAGAAAACTTAGGTGAAAGCGAAATTAGAGAAGCCCATTTAGCCAAGTCATTGTTTTTCATACGAATTGGCGACAAGGTATATAACTGTTATGTCTTTCAATTCTTTAATCATCTGCTTGTTTTCACCGCATTTGTGTAGACTTCTTTTATTCCTAACTTGTCATGATGTAAACCCAGGAGAAGGCTTTGGAACAGCTCAAGTTAACAGAAAGCAAGACAGTAGCTGCTGGGCAGAAAATGGACCTGGTTTTCCATACACTACAGATTGGCTTTTTCTATATGGATTTCGATCTTATTTCCAAGAGCATTGATAAAGCAAAGAAGTAAGGGGTGGTGGCCTGAGGAGGGAGGTGACTAGGAAAGGAAGAATCGTCTAAAGGTGTATGAAGGCTTATACTACATGTCTACTCGAAACTTTAAGAAAGCCACCAGTTTGTTTCTTGATTCGATCTCAACTTTCACAACTTATGAACTTTTCCCATATGACAACTTCATATTTTACACGGTCCTTACCAGCATCATATCGTTGGATAGAGTTTCCTTGAAACAGAAGGTACGCACAGTTGCACATTAGGGTTTTGGCATGGAATTGTTTTCCCCTTGATAATTTTTTAGAGAGATGCTTGGCTGGCAGTATTTTGGTTTTCTTTTCTTTTTTTTGATTGTCTTTACTTTCCTTTCCTTTCCTTTCCCTTTTTTGTTTTTCCTGGTGATAAAGAAAGAAAAAAAGGGAGGGGGAGGGATTGTTTATGTGGCATGATGACATTCCGGACAAACCCACGCGGTAAACCGTCGGTGGCAAGATAAGGGAGATATCTCAAACAAGGGTGCTAGTTGCATTATAGTCCCCTAGCATTAAGGACTTTCAAAACAAGGGTACTAGTTGCATTGTAGTCCTCTAGCACTAAGGACTGTCAAGACAAGAGTGCTGCGAAAGTTTAGAGTCCTCTAGCACTAAGGACTTTCAAGACATGTCATCAAAACGAGATAATACTTGATATACAAATAGGGATAACCATTCATGCTTCACAAATACTTTTATCAAACCAAAGCAAAGCTTTATCAAAACCTTAAGAACATATCTTTATTAGAAATACCACTCACATAATTCTTCAAACGTCGGGGTCAAGCAAGGTCCAAGTCCTACAATCACATGGCAAAGCGTTCTTGAACATATTCCTCAAAACAAGTCTATCATGCATGCAAATGGTTTTGGAAAACATGCTGGGCATCAACCAGGTCTAAGCCGAGGTGTATTTCCGAGGGCCACATGCAAGGAAAAGAGGTCGGGAAATTCTGGGTTTTCCCTCCGCTGATGAATATGAAGAACATGAGTATGAAAACATGGAAGATATGAATGTTCGATGATACCAATCTGTCATCACAAATCTGGGATTTTTCATGTTACAAGTTCGAAAACATGGACCTGGGTACCCATAGTTGGAAATCATGCAAGAACAAACACAAAACATGAGTCTAGTCAAAGAGCTTTCGGATCAAAACATGACTTTTCTTGAAGAACACATGAATGCCATTTCCTCTTTCTCAAACCGGATTTCAAGACGATGCATGGCTTACAAATCATGTCCGATCATGCAATGCAAATACGTGAACATAAAGGACATCACGAGTAGTTCAAGAATCTAACCTTAGAACGCGGATCTATCGGTTCGATCTCTAGAAATCAAGCTTGAAGATCTACTTCCTCTCTCTAAAACTCTTTCTTCCTCCCAGAGCTTCTCTCTCTACAAAGCAAGTTTATGATACCAAAAATGATA